AGTAGTAAGGAGCTTGTTAAATCGCACATTCGTAATTTGCCCACTAGATGTCGCCACTAAACCATCAATACGCAGCTCATGGGTGCCTTTTCCATTTAATTGGGATGTAACAGAAGGTTCAATAGCCTTGATAAATAAGTCGTTTGCCAGAACGAACAATGAAGCTTTGTGCTGAGAAGAAAACACTTTTGCTATGTGGACACGAGCCTATAAAATGCTTTGCCAGATTTACTGATAACAAGGGCATGGATGTGAGGATATCCATTCCAATTAGTTTCTAATAATTAAAAATAATAATAATCATTAAAATATATATAAGATAACTGCAACCCACAATGATGGCATGTGGGTATCAAAATATATTAGTTGTGCCTTTTCTAAGTTCCTGATGACTATTGATCCTATGTTTGCTTGCAGTATGGAGCACAAGGGTCCTACTTTTCATCCCTCTGCAATCTCACGAGGGTTTCCCCCTGGTGATCACTTTCTATGATGAGTGTGGATGAGAATGTGAGGATAATATGTGCAGGGCAGGAAAAAAAAAAAAAGAAAAAAGCATGCACTCCTGCATTAAGGGGAAAGAGTGGGAGAGGAAATGACAGATATGTAAAGTAAGTCAAGGGAGGGAGAAAGAGACAAGGCAGAGAGACGAGAGAGAGGAAAAGAGAGGGAGAAGGAGGGAGATAGAGACTGTTAGCAATGGGCGGGCGAGAATGAGGCGACTCCTGTTTTTCTGTGTGTTTGCCTGCACAACCCCTGATCGTTGTGTCTAAGCAATACAACTTCATAGGCAACCAAGAAGCCAGCCTGATTTGTATTGTCACACAATGGACCTTCCAGGTAATGATTTCTTTTATTCTACTTCTACAACCTCCCAGCCTTTCCTTAGAAATGTCCTTTAGTGTAAACTTGAAAAAAAAAAAGCAGAGATGTAACTTATGATTTGACTTTGCTTCTATAACCTACAGGTCCAGCCTTCGCTTTCCCTGATAACTTGCCTGCTGCCCAATTGATCTGTCTTTAGTTTTTGACAGTGATCATTTTCCACCATCGATTATTTTTTTTTGGCTTTGCCCTTTTTAGACAGTGATATCAAACTATTAGAAGTGGCCTTTAGGTGGTCAGAAAAGGGGTGAGAATGTTGAGAAGTTTATCAGTTAAAGGAAAGTCTAAGGTTTTCTGCTATGTTCACGGTCTGCTTGTCATTAAGAATCATAGTGGCTAGAGGAGAGACTTTTGTTGGGAGGAACTAGGCATCTTAGAGGGCTTACTGTATTAATCCTGGGATTGCATGTGCTTTAAGATCGTTCTGTTAGAGAGCTACTGTGTGAGACTTTATTAGACATACAGCATAAATAACCAAGACAATGAGCTGTGCAAGACTGTCATCTACTCCTACAGAACGTCTTTAGCAAAGAAAACGACCTGTGCAAAACTATAATCTACTAATACAGAGCATATATAGCAAAAAAAAGACTTGTGGAAGACTATAATCTACTAATACAGAGCATATATAGCAAAAAAAAGACGTGTGGAAGACTATAATCTACTAATACAGAGCATATATAGCAAAAAAGACTTGTGCAAGACTTTATTTATTAATACAGAGCATATAGAGCAAAAAAGACTTGTGTAAGACTTTATTTACTAATACAGAGCATATATAGCAAAAAAAAAGACTTGGGCAAGACTTTATTTACTAATACAGAACATATAGAGCAATAAAAGACTTGTGCAAGACTTTAATCTACTAATACAGAACATATAGAGCAATAAAAGACTTGTACAAGACTGTAGTCTACTAATACAGAGCATATAGAGCAAAAACGACTTGTGTAAGACTTTATTTACTAATATAGAACATATATAGCAAAAAAAGACTTCTGTCAGACTTAAATTTACTAATACAAAACATATATAGCATAAAAAAAGACCTGTGCAAGACATTATTTTACTAATACAGAGTATACAGAGCAAAGATATAGATCTATGCAAGACATTTGTCTCCCAATACAGAGCATACATAGCAAATGGATACATCTGTGTAAAGAGTTTTAAATAGTAACAACTCTATAGGAAGACAGATAAACAAATAATAATAATTACAGCTGTATGGTGCAGAGCATATATCAAAGACATATGAATGTGTTGAAGTTTAATATAATAATTTAGAGCAATACAGATGTGCAAATTTGATATACCAATACAGAGCATCCATAAAAAAGACATACAGATGTGTAATCGTTTAATATACTAATATGCAGCATCTATAGCAAAGAAATACAGATGTGTAAAACTAATATACTATTACATTATATCAAAGAAATACAGATGTGAGTCTATAGCAAAGAAAAAGAGAGGTGCAAGACTTTAATCTAAAATAAGGAGCACCTATAGCAAAGAAGTACAGATGTGTAAGGGTTTAATAGACCTATACAAGGCACCTATAGTAAAGAAGTACAGATGTGTAAGGATTTAATAGACCTATACAGGGCACCTATAGTAAAGAAGTACAGATGTGTAAGGATTTAATAGACCTATACAGGGCACCTATAGTAAAGAAGTACAGATGTGTAAGGATTTAATAGACCTATACAGGGCACCTATAGTAAAGAAGTACAGATGTGTAAGGATTTAATAGACCTATACAGGGCACCTATAGTAAAGAAGTACAGATGTGTAAGGATTTAATAGACCTATACAGGGCACCTATAGTAAAGAAGTACAGATGTGTAAGGATTTAATAGACCTATACAGGGCACCTATAGTAAAGAAGTACAGATGTGTAAGGATTTAATAGACCTATACAGGGCACCTATAGTAAAGAAGTACAGATGTGTAAGGATTTAATAGACCTATACAGGGCACCTATAGTAAAGAAGTACAGATGTGTAAGGGTTTAATAGAGCTATACAGGGCACCTATAGCAAAGAAGTACAGATGTGTAAGGGTTTAATAGACCTATACAAGGCACCTATAGCAAAGAAGTACAGATGTGTAAGGTTTAATAGACCTATACAAGGCACCTATAGCAAAGAAGTACAGATGTGTAAGAGTTTAATAGACCTATACAAGGCACCTATAGTAAATAAGTACAGATGTGTAAGGGTTTAATATACTATGACAGATCCTCTATACCAAAAATACAGCTGTGAGATTTTAATATGCTAATATAGATATATCCAAGAAATGCACATGTGCAATCCTATATATACTATTATAGAACATCTACGATAGAAGCAGAGCTTTGCGAGACTTTAATAGAAATAGCAAAACAATAGAGTTCTGTGATAATTTCATATGGTAATATGAAGCATAAACAGCAAAAATAGAGTTGGGTAATACTTTATTATATAAAAAAAGCATACACAGCAAACATAGAGCTGTGTGATACTTTACTGTTCTAATACAAAGCATAAATTGCAAAAATAGAGCTGTGTGATATTGTACTATAGTAATACAGAACATAAATAGCAAAAATAGAGCTGTGTGATACTGTACTATAGTAATACAGAGCATTAATATCATAAATAGCAAAAAAAAAGAGTTGTGCGATACTTTAATATAGTAATACAAAGCGTAAATTGCAAAAATAAAGTTGCGTGATACTATAATAATAAAAAGCACATAAATAGCAAAATAGAGCTGTGTGATACAGTACCATAGTAATACAAAGCATAAGTAACAACAATAGAGCTGTAGAGCTGTGTGATACTTTACTATAGTAATGCTAAGCATGGGTAGAAAAAATAGAGTTGTGTGATACTTTACTATAATAATAAAGAGCGTACATAGCAAAAATAGAGTTGTGTAATAGTTTCCTTTAAAAATACAGAACATAAATAGCAAAAATAGTCGTGTGATACTTTACTACAGTAATACAGAGCATACATTGCAAAAATAGAGTTGTGTGACACTTTACTATAGTAATAAAATGCATTAAATTAGAAAAAATAGAGTTGTGTGATGCTTTATTGTAGTAATAAAAAGCATAAATAGCAAAAAATAGAGTTGTATGATGCTTTACCACAGTAATACAAAGCATGGGTAGCACAAATGGAGTTGTGTGATACTTTATTATAGTATCAAAATGCATAAATAGCAAGCATAGAGCTGTTTGATACTTTATTGTAGTAATAAAAAGCAGAAATAGCAAAAAATAGAGTTGTGTAATACTTTACTGTAGTAATAAAAAGCAAAATTGCAAATAATAGAGTTGTGTGATGTTTTACCACAGTAATACAAAGCATGTGTGGCAAAAAATGGAGTTGTGTGATACTTTACTATAGTATCAAAAGGCATAAATAGCAAAAATAGAGGTTTGTGATACTTTATTGCAGTAATAAAAAGTATAAATAGCAAAAATAAAGTTGTGTGATGATTTACCACAGTAATACAAAGCATGTGTGGCAAAAATGAAGTTGTGTGATACTTTACTATAGTATTAAAAAGCATAAATAGCAAAAATAGAGTTGTGTGATACTTTATTGTAGCAATAAAAAGCATAAATAGCAAAAACAGAGTTGTGTGATACTTTATTGTAGTAATAAAACGCATAAATAGCAAAAACAGAGTTGAGTGATACTTTACCATAGCAACACAAAGCATGGGTAGCAAAAATGGAGTTGTGTGATACATTACTGTAGTAATACAAAGCATAAATAACCAAAAATAGAGCAGCGTGAGGCTTTGACACACTTTTACAGAGGATGTGTGCTAAAAAAAAAATAGATCTATGTAAGCCATGAAATACTCATACGTATGATTTAGAGCAAAGCTGGTTTTATGGGGGTTGTATGAACTAGTAAAAACATTTGCACAGTGTATATGATTTGAAGATGTTGCGATGTTTCCTGCGTTTGATTCTTGCTTCTATTTAAAGGTGTAGCCCAACAAGCCAAGTGAACGCAGTGCGCAGCAGAGCGCTCTCCTGACGCATCTGGAAGGCAGAGAGAAGTCCGAGGCTGTCAGCGCACGGGGGCCGCGCTTGCTGTAGCAGGATGAGTCTATGGGGGAACGCTGCAGGAGAGAGAAGAGCCGGAGCAGCGCTGAAACCTTTCAAGTGGGAGCAAAGCTTCCTAAGAGTTGCTAAACTGCTGCTGTCCATGGTGCTGATGCTGCTGGCGCCACCTACGGCCTGCGCTCAGAACGACACAGAACCTATCGTACTGGAAGGGAAGTGCCTGGTGGTCTGTGATTCTAACCCGTCTTCAGATGGAGCCATCACGTCGTCTTTGGGCATTTCGGTGCGCTCTGGAAGTGCCAAAGTGGCCTTTTCGGCTATTAGGAACACCAACCACGAGCCCTCTGAGATGAGCAACCGTACCATGACTATCTATTTCGATCAGGTAGATATGTTCCACCAAAACACAGTCTATGGCTGCTTTCACAGCTCCAGGAGATCAGATTGACCCGGCCAAGTGTGTGTTGTGTCAGATCCTAGATAGACGTAAGATCGTGCAAAGTGAGGCTAAGCTGCCTGTAATCAGATGCAAGGCTGTAGGAATTGGACAGGCTAGAGACGCGGAATGACAGGTACAGTGTAGAGCTGCTAACTAGAGGAGATGACAAGCCAAGTATGACACCATTCCCCCATTTGACAACGTGATGATTCACCTTTGCCTTAGATCAATTTCCCTCTGATTTAGATTCCCTTTCCTGCTTGTTTCTTAAGCTAGTACATGATTGCTAAGAGAAGTGGAAAAATGGCTAAGGCCACCCCTTAATTGCTTTGTTTTATTGTCGGTGAAGATGAGATACTTAATCACCTGAAACTACACTACACGGCTGGCTTGTCTGCTTCATAACTTACACTAAAATCAACTGACAGCATTGCTTTACTGGGGGGTGTATCTGAAAAAAGACATAGGATTCATCAAATCACACAGGGAAACATCAAATAAAGATAATAAAATAAAAAGGCAGTATTTTCCACAGTATTGCTCCTATGATATTACCAAAAATATGAAATACATATAAAATATATATATATATATATATATAAATGGATTGCATTATTGTTCAGCTATATTAAATCACTGCAATAAATGACAGCAAGATAAAAGGTGGTGTCCTTACAGTAGCTGATATTGTTGTCTTAATTATTTTTTTTTATGTTTATAAACACATATTGACAAAGGCAAGAGTTTTGTTCCTGTAAAATCCCTATTGCTGAGATAACCTACACAGAGGCTATGAACTTTTAACAAAATGCTATTGGGATATACCCTGTTTTTTTTTTTTTTTTTAACAAAGCATCCCTTTTTTGGAACATCTGTGAGATAGATTAAAAAAAAAAGACATCCATGCCCTTATATAGCTGAATTAAGGTACATGACATTTTTTGGAAATCTGTCATAGTTTGAAAAAATACTGATAGAAAATGTTTATTAGTTCATGAAAAGCCCTACAGAAAGGATTGGTTGACTTTTAGTTTCTCCCAAGCAGAAGATCCTTACACTGCAGCTCTGCTTTATCTGATCAGTTTATGCAAAGTGATTTTTCATCAAGTCATAAAGGGTAGTAAAGTTATGATGACCTACCTGTTTATGCTAATTACCTTTTACTGTAATGCCTTCCCATCCACACTCTAGAATAAGTATTTTAATATAGCAATGAATACACCTGTTGTTGGTTTCATTATATGAGTTGGGGAGAATGACTGAATAAATGTCACCTTGTAAAATAGCCAATGACATCTTCAAAGCCTACAGATATGGGGAGAAAAGACCTGCTGCATTGTTGTAAACTTGTCTCTGTAGAGTTATCGCACAGAGAATTTTATGTGCATATTGATGGAATATAAAAGTGGATGGTATTCTTTGCCTTGACAGTATTACTTATAATGCCCTAGTTTCACACTGTTATTTTAGCAGTCACCCTAGAAGCACATTAATATTATATATGACAAGGGAGGCATTTTACCTTGCCTTGTCTTTGCACCTTATTTTAAAGTCTGTAGGATAGGATTGGCTGACTTATGGTAAAAGCGTATAAGCTCTACCAAATGTTATATGAATAGCTGTCATAAAGCACAGCAGATTTATGAGGATGTTACAAGGTTTCACAATGTTACTGATGCACACCATGCTCTATTATCGTGATTGATCAAGTGTGGCTTAACCTTTTTCTAGGTGTTAGTAAATATTGGAAACCATTTTGATCTTGCCTCCAGTGCATTTGTAGCACCCAGGAAAGGAATCTACAGTTTCAGTTTTCACGTGGTCAAAGTGTACAACAGACAGACGATCCAGGTGGGTAACATATGAGACTACACGCTATTAAGTATTCAGTTGGTTTTAGAGACATACGTTGCTTAATAAGGAAGAGCGACTTAACAAAGATGCTGGGAAAGGTGCAATAACCCATAGCAATTAGTTAGATGTCACCTTTCAACACTTTAGGGGAATTATTAGAATGAAAGAGGATAACCATGATATATATATATATATATATATATATATATATATATATATATATATATATATATATATATATATATATATATATAATTTTTCCCCTCAAGAAAAACTTCAGTTTTTTACTGTAGTATGAATTAACCCTGTGTGGAATATTTAAATTACATATGAGCTTATTTAATAGAACAACAGAAAGAGCAAAGACAATGTGAAAGTTGCTGTACCCCACAGGATCCAATCAGATTGCATCTGTCTTCAGTTAAATACAGGCAGGATAATGAAAGGTGACTGCTAACTGGCTCCCATGGACTACTGCACTCTGTTAATTGCTCATTATCAATTAAATGGGCCAGATAATTTAAGAAAATAACAAATAACACAATATCATAATAAAATAGTTACAATGGGCATTTAATACATCGCATAGAATTACTGGGAGGGATGTGGGTGGGCTATACATAATAGATATTGAAAATGCCCTTCGATAATCTTGCAGTCAAATGGGTGATTAAATGAAATAGGCTATTAGGCAGATTTATAGAGTGGGCCTGTCTTTAAAACCACATGCCATATTTCTTTATGTGATGATGTTTTTCTCTTTTATGCAGGTAAGTCTAATGCAAAACAACTACCCAGTAATTTCTGCCTTTGCTGGAGATCAGGATGTTACCAGAGAAGCAGCCAGTAATGGGGTCTTGCTGCATATGGAAAGAGCTGATAAGGTGCACCTAAGACTGGACAGGGGCAACCTCATGGGAGGATGGAAATATTCAACCTTCTCTGGCTTTTTAGTTTTTCCATTATAAGGAATGCAAGAGAGAACAGCAAGGATTTGACTGTCCACGTAGCCATTAATGTGGTGGAACAAGATATTATCTCCAACATCCCTCTCTGATTGTCTCTTGTAGAAGAATGAATTATCTTCTAGGTAAAATATACACTATGATATTGACATTTCCTTGGGAAACTGCGCCTCTAATTAGTTTTAGACGACAGTGATCTTTAGGATAAATGAAATTATCGACCCAAGCAATTTGTACCTGTGATTGTAAAGTCAATATCGGAATTTATTGTTGGGATCATTGACTTTTTTGTTGTTATTCTGAGACAAATACTTGGACTACGCAGTCAATGTGAGGAGTCACAAAGAGAAGAATCAAAAATCCTGATTACGTGTTCTTGCAATGCTTTCTTTAGTGTTTGTATAGCCTTAAGAAACGAATGGCTTCAGTCTCAGTAATGTATATTTTTGGATTTATGGACATGACTGTGTCAAGAAGTGCTTTATACAGACAAGCAAAATTTGCACGATTGGAATTATCTATTTTGTTTTTGTGTTGTTTGTGTATTCTTGATATTTTTTTTTTCAGGGTGCTGACCATGTAAATTAGGTTGACCAATACGAAAAAGTATATAGCTGTAAATCAAAGTAAAGCTTACAAATTAAAAGGAGTCTTTTTTCTCTTAGTGTTTGCTTGAATATTCACCATCTTTTGCCTGATCATTTAAACTTGTTCAGGGCAAAGAATAGGTCCTTTTTGTGTCATTATGTATGTTATGAGAAGGTTGAAGGTGTTGGAATACAGTATTTGATCCTTTGACATTTTCATCATTTTTATTTCTTTCCTGTAGCAATAATGGAGGCTTGCCAATTTTTTTTTTTTCAAAAAGGGAAAGGATTAATTTAGTTTAGATGCAGATGTTAGTTGCTAAATTAATTATTTAAAACAGAAATGCCAAACCTGTGTGTGATGTAGTTACTGAGAGGCCAAGCAAGCAAATGCTGGAAGTATTTTAGTCTAGTCTGGTCTTGTTTAATTTTTGTTTTTCCAATGTCTTTATTTGTTTTTACGCATTAGACATTCAGTAGAAACAAACCACTTGGAATGGCTAAGTAAACCATTATATTGAGAAGCTTTAGATTCCCAGAAGCCTTTGCTCTACTAAGAAAGATGTCAAGGCTTTGCTTAAAGACAAAATGTATTATTCATCCTACCAGGAAATTGAGATTATTCCCTGCATCAAAGAGATCTTAAATATAGTGTTGTTTAATAATTGCCTAGTAATGTGTGGATGAATAACACTATAATGTTTGTGAAGTTCATTGTCTTTAATTGTCTCAAGTAAGGACAACATTCTGCACAAAGGAGCAGCAACTGAAACATGCTCCTATTTTAATCAGTACCATCTAAACATTTATTGATGGACTAATTTATAGTTATTGTCTGTGCTCAGTGCAGCTTCAACTGCAATTTCTTCTCCCACATGACAGGTAATATTTGAATAATAGGAACCGCGAAGCTGAAAGCCTCTTGCATATTTTATAGTATAGATTTGCAGATCGATAATAATGTCATATATATATGTATGACATTTGTTTTGTTCAGAGCACCATGCCTCAAAACAGATACAATCTTTATCACTGAAGCACCCAGGTAATTTTACTTGCCCCATTACCCTGATTGTGGAGATACTTACTGTAACTCTTGTCGATAACTGCGCATATTTATTTATTTTAATATCTTTGTTGATAGTTTTAAATTTAGACCCGCATTGCCCTAGTTTCTACTTTATAACTTATGATACGCATTATTCCTCCAAAATAAGTCTCGTTGAGCTTTAATGTTTGGCCTTCATTAACAACATTTTAGCCCCAGAATCCATCACCCTAGTTATTGGGGATACCATTCAAAATTACATGATAGATAGAGATAAGCCCAACTTCATTGAGCTGATTTACTATAGAAGTTGAGAATCTTCACACAATAAATTACGTAAAAATGAATTTCAATTGTCCAATCATGTGCAGATAAAATAGGTAAACAGGAATTTACTTTTCACCTCATTGGATAATTAGGATTGATTGATAAAAGAGATTGATTTACTAAAACTGGAGAGTGCAAAATCTGGTGCAACTGTGCATAGAATGCAATCAGCTTCCATTTTTTTGTCAAAGCCTAACTGAACAAGTCAAAGTTAGAACTGATTGACTACCATGTACAGCCACACCAGATTTTGCACTCTCCAGTTTTAGTAAATCAACCCCAATGTGAAGAATCCTAACGCCTTCAGAAAATAAGCCTCCAAGTCTTCTGTGTGTACTTCAATATTGGAGCAGGTCAATCAAGCACCCATTTCTGACATGCAATTTCATATATTTTCAGGCTGGGTATCTCAGTGAGGCTGGTTATTCTCCAAATTCGGCGGTCCTAGTAATAGCTAGATCCTTAACAACAAAGTTGCAAAATGCCTAACACAAGGACTCAGATTCTACACAGCTGTGCAGGGCACTCCTGTGGAGAATGATTAGAGACCTGACTTTTGTGGAATAGTATTAGCTGTATTTTACTAGTAAAAGGTTTTCTTGAATTCTGCGGTGCATTCAGTTTAACAAATCTCACGTCTTCTGATGTCATTCTTATTTTTATTGCTATTATTCTGTTTTTATAATACTACTTTTTTAATATCCTTTAATATTAATTTAACCTGCTCCTAAAAGTCTGATTATGTGTTTACAAAGTGATCATGTGTGCCTGTGTGCAATAAAACTGTGACACAGCAATACCCTATACAAGATAGAAAGAAAAAAAAAAAACACAATTTTCCCATGTATTTAAGTTTTTTTCACAATATTTGCAAAACTCCCATTTGATAAAGTAATGAGACCCTTAACATGTTATTATGTATAATAAAGTGTTTAATGTCCTTTATTATTGATTTAAACCATTACATCAATTTGTTTTTAATTTATCAACACAGCAAGACACTGTAAAGAAGCAGTAGTGAGAAGGACTATAAGAAGGACTTACTATTATATTACTACTATTACTGCTAATATTGCAGTTTGATTCATTGGTGCTCTGACATATTGCTGCACTAATTTAAACGTAAAACAAGCCCTTGACCACTTTTTAAGTCTGCATTTTATAAAGTTAAAAAATGCCATAAGTAGGTTGATAAATCTGATGTTTGTAAAGCTATTGCAGTTGGTTTACCATGTGTGCAGGTGCAGCGGTCACAAATCCGCACCATAACTACAGCAAATCAAATGAGATGCAGCTTCATTTGTACTAGATCTTGTTCTAATCTTGTTGCTAAATTGCTTGGTAAATTAGATTAGATACAAAAATTACATATGCACAAAATATAACTGTAGGGGCAACATCCCCAGCTATTTTAATGTACCTTTGCTCCAGTTACTATAAATTGGCCTTTGGCCTCCAGTCTCACCTTCAAAAACAACTGTTGAATCCAGTGAGACAGTGTAACAGCCAGGAAACTACCATTGTTAGATGTAAGCAAGTAATAATATCCCTCCTGTTTTTTTTGCTTGTGGCAGGGTTATTGTAGGTTACAATGTATCAAAATGTACAGTTTTGTGTGTTGTAATTTAGCACATTGCTGTGCACCTCAGTAGGCAGTTTATTCAAAATGGGCCAAAATGCACCCCAGCACAACAAAAAATAGGCCTTTGTATTTTTTTGCAGTGCAGAATACCGCACCACACCACAACACAACACACATCATGTATTGCCATGTTCTGCCATGTGTTACAGCACAGTGAAAGTAAAATGAATGGTGCTGTAGCACACCAGCACTTATATACAGTGCATTACCGCACGTTGCAGTGACGCGTATGTTTTATCGTACTTTACCATCATGCACTGTGAACAGGCCATTAATAAAAATTATCTGTCAGCTTTGTTATTTTACATGCAAATAAGAGATTTTTGTGTTGTCCGTGACCACTAATTAGATTCAAATGTTTAGATACCAACCGTGAGAGTGAAAAAAACATCTTGGTTGGTATTAAAAATGCATATATAGCTTTTGTTTACAATTTGTTGATAAATTAGGCTATCTGTATCATTCTAAAGACTACACAAAAGACAGTGGAAGGAGATAGTGATTTTGCTTACAAAATTATATGAGAAAAGACTTTTCATTCTAATCAAATGGCACATTCAGAAACCATAATCCAATATTATCCCGCAAATCTTAGTTAATACCACAGCCCCAGTACAATTGGAATATCAATCTACAGTTATGTACAAACATACTTTTCAACCAAAAATGTCCATAAAATTCTCTACTTTTATCTTGTGTATAAAATGTTATAAAATTACATGTGACTATGAAGAGCTAGGGGTTGAAGATACATAGGTGCATGGTGGGAGATTTGTGCTCAAGAACAGTGGAAGGATTTACAATATGCTATGCAAGGCTTTGCTTCCAATTACTTTAGTTTTTTTAATCATGTATATTTGTAGGAAATTTACAATTATATTTGCATATTTCATCGTCCCTAATACTTTTACATATTTATCACTTTTCTAGATGGGAATGACAACTGAATGCTTAAATACAGGTGATATATATATATATATATATATATGTATATTCTGACAGGTTATCCTGACACAAAGAGTTAAAAAGGTAACGGGGAGGGGTCTAGGGCACACAGCCTGTGTGCTGTGTGAAGGGGTGTGTCCGTTCCCTCCACTCAGCTCTCACTGAGATCTGCACTCGGTGACTTAAGTTTCCTGCCCCCTGATTTTTTTTAAATTATCCATTTTGAATGGCTGCAGAGAAGAGAGGGTGCAGATAAACAGGATTTTTTTAATCTCTTTTTTTGTGTATCACTGAGGCCAGTCACTTCACTGGGTATATGTAAGAGTTTACAACCACTTTAAGGCCTCTTTCCCATATAATACCTTACTAAATGTATGTAATCCCCAAAAATGTAACTAAATGCTGTTCAGTATGTGAGACAGAACAATAAGAGCAACATTCATTTTAACAGAAT